TGGGCCAACAAATATGAACTGCAGTGCAAGCAAATATATTGATGACACTTTGCAAATTATTTAATATTATGGAAAAGATTTTAAAAATGAATGTTTGCAAACAAAATTATATATATTGAATGTATTTTGTACTTTGATATAGGCCAACAAATAATTATTGCCATGTAAGCAAATGTATTGATGACACTTTGCAAATAATATATAGGGATTTTATCAAATTCAATTGCATATAAATTATCTGTTAAAAGATTATTTGTAAAATGTTTTTTCAATTCATTAAGTATAGTAAATCATTTGTAAGTCAAAATCATTGGTCTTCATCCTAAAGTTTATTAAGCATTGGACATTGGTTATTTGATTATAGCTCACCTTGGTGGTGGGATAAAGATTACAGTATACAGTAGGTTGAAATCTCAATTAAGAGTGACATTGGTCGTTTAAACTATTATTACAAAGGCTACGATCACACTAGAGTCTCAAGCCTGGCTTGACTCACCACGGGTGAGATTTCAAGCCAGGCTCGAAATTCTGGGTCGGTCACACTTTACCTGAATTTAGTTGGATTGACCTCCAAATTAGGAAAGTCGAAACAGGAAGTTAGAGCGCCGCTACAATAAAAATACCGGCCCCGCGCACAAATCTAGATGATCTAGGTCTAGGCTCGGATGTAATGGCGATGCTACAGTAGTTTTCAGATTGATAAGTGCATTTATAAATGACAACTGATGATTGCCGTAGGTTTTTTATTCAAGAACTTCTAAACGCAACGGCGTCATCGACTGTGATTGGTCGACAGCCGACGAGGAAATGTCAATCCCAGTCATGCCAGGGTCAATTCATGGTCAATCTGGGTACTGAGCCGGGATCGAGATAGGTAGATTGAGATCTTGTAATTTTGAAACCGTGTTACATTACAGCAAATAGCATTGCGTTGTGGGGTGTGTGGTCAAATGAACAATTAGTTTTTATCCCCAAGTGCACACTTTAAATGTACTTTCCGTCCAGCCCATTGTTTTGTAAACACTACAGTAGGCGGTCTCCAACTAGAACAGTGGAAATTAAAACTCTACCTTAATTTGCCTTTTGTTCACAATAGAGCTACAATTTACAAACAAAAATTATAATCCTGACAAAATTTCAAGATTTAACTTGAACATCTTAATTGATGATTAATATATTGCTTAAATTAACTATGCAGAAAAGTTTTCCATGACAAAACCTGTATTCTTTTTGGTGATGACCTTGACTTGGTCAGTGATTAATTACCACTTGATGTTGCCTGCAGGCACAAGTAGGAATCCCAATCCACCAAATTTGGGGATTATTTGAAGTAGCCTTTTTTCCAGATGTTTGCAATGACACGGAATCACTATTGCGTTTATACAACACGCATCGCTAATAATCCGTGTATTGGTGTGTTGTATAAATGGGCCCTAAGTCTCAATATGAGGTTTAGGGAGTGGAGTTTTTTTGGTTGTGAGAAAAAATCCTGCAGCACTGACAGGAATTGAACCCAGGACCCTGGGATTGGAAGGCAAGCATCTTAACCACCAAGCTTTTTAACTCCACTCTAAAACATATTCTATTGTAAAACATTAGAAAGCACTCTATGACTCTTAATGACAACACTAAATAGCTCCAACGACCAGTACCATGGTCATTACAAATATATCTTCAGGAACAGTCCATTTACATAAAACTGATGATGGTGATCATACTATAATGTGAAACTGCTGTGCTACTCTACTAATAAATGAAATCAACTTTATATGTGTTTGTATGCTTAACCTATCGATATTGTAAAATAAGTTTGACAATTCCCTGGTTCAACAAAGAATTCCAAATATATTAAATTATCTAGTCATGGGACTTTGAAGGTCGGTCAACATTAATTATTATGGTCAATGTCAACAAAAAGAACAATTATGTCAAATGTCATCTCAGTTATAACTCTGGGTATAATCTAACGGTTTAAAAACAATAAGTACACACTTACATGCTTTGTAGATTTTGTAGCCAATATGACGAAAGCACGGTAGGCTGACAAGGCCTATGGACAAAAGAAGAAACATTGTTCATTAAAATAAAGTATCAGATTAGTAAATGGTTATTTCCAAATAACAATTATCAACAAAAAAAAATAAAAATAAAACAATAATAAATACAATACTTATTTCTGAGGCTCCTACTTTAAATGCTAAAGCGGTACTTGTGAGGAGCCTGCATTTGGCCAGACATTTTTATACCTTGTTTCGCAAACCTATTTTTTCAAAGATCGTTAAAGAGGCTGGAAAAAAAAATATACTAAAAATTTTGTTTTCTTATTCTCCTCCGTCTTGCCAAAAACATCCAGACGGAGGAGAAAATAAAAATAAAATGTTATTGGTGAATGTAAACAGCGAGTAATGGGATGCTTACATGCTTTAAAGTCATTATAATCAGGAATAAATATACATACATTATATTTTGGAGATTTCAAAGCAGCGGAGGACGTAACAAAATAAAGAAAAACTTTTTTTTGTGGCGGCGGATGCGCTAATTGGCCAAATTGTATTGTATTAAAAAATGAAAAAAATGAAAAAAAATTTGTAATAAAAATAATATAAAATAACAATATACTGTAACATTGCAACAACAATGAATGAAAATATAACAAAAACAAAAATTATAAAATATATTATAACGTAGTATCTATTATATAGGTACAATACTACAAAAACAATAGCTCATTAAATAGCCATTAAAGATTTATATACTGTATTCTGTAAACCAAATTTTTCAATTACTTAACCATGATATAAATAGCTATAACAAGTATAAAATTATTGTTTTCACAACATAGTAATCTAGAACCATTAATCAAAAGGTCAGGCAGATAATTCTACATTTTTGGATCATGAAAGAGAATAGTTGGCCTACTCATCAGTGTAACTTGCTTATTACTATTATGAGTAAATTACTGCTCAACACATTACCTCGTTCTAATATATTATATATCAAATAAAATATCAAATAGAAGGGATTGTTTCAAAAACGATTTAAAAGATGTACTTTACGTTATGTGTAAAATGCGGTTGCGACTTGCACAAACTTCATTTGTGTCTGTAGTAATGTTTGCAGTATTAAATTTGAATGAAAATACAACAAGTGCTGAGCAATCTATAAATAACATTTAACCTTCTACACCTAGTAAATCCAGGATGACACATACAAAGGATTCAAATAGAATTATTTACTGTATAACATATGCTGATTTCTTAATGTCAAAGGTGAAATGATTCAACAATAGACAATGAATCCTACCTGCTAAATGTTTATTTAATTTATTATAAATAATGTATTTTAAGTCAATAATCCTAAATAGTTTGACTCTACAGTATTCACTAAATTTACTTCAATTATTGTTATTTAAAATAAACATTTACAAAACCAATTACAATACTCAAAACATTTACAGTGAGTTGCCTTTGACAATGACAAGGTATTTAAACTTTGTACAGTAATAATACCCCTGATCCTATATACAAATAATCTGTGGTAGAATTTACTGCAACAATTATATTGTACATTTATGGTAAGGCTATCAACTCTATCCTTGTATTTACTGAAATAGTACATTTATAGGTTCTACTGCTGAAAAGTAGGTAACAAAATTAGCTGATCAAAGGTTCAAATTTCGGAATTCTCAAATTTCATTGGTCTGTTCATGTCAAGTACTCACACCCAACGCCACCTGTTGGAGAATTTCCAGCTTGACATTCCTGTCAACTTACTGTCTTAAAACTACAGTTTATTGTGTTCTACCAAATATTATGCAGAGTATCAATGCTATATTGAAATTTCTCAATGAAAAATGCAAACTTGAGGTCTCTGAAGTAACATGTACATTACTTAAATAGCTGTGTCATGTCTTGTTAGTATCTTAGCAACAGCAGAAATTCCAAGTTCAGACAAATTTGCAGAGTACTGTTAGGACTTTTGCAAACCATGCCTCCCCTCCCCCCCCCACACCCCTCTCTAACAACACAATCCGAGTTTTACTTGATTTTGAACTTATTTATCAAATATCTCTAATAATAATAAATACAACACAAACAAATAATTAAAACAAAAACAACCGTTAGAAGAGAATCCTCTAAGTCAATGCAATTTCCAGAAGGGTTCCTCTTCCATTTAACTGAATAGAAAAATTCATCTTTATCCTTACAAAACTTGTATACTGAAGCAGCAAATTTTATGTATTTATTCTACAAATTTAAAAATTTAAGAACTATGCAGATCAAAAAGCAATGATTTACAGGAAGTCTGTCTGGGTCATCAGTTACCGAGCGACAGGGATGAAACATATTACTGTATTCAGCATACAGTACAGACAAGGCCTACTCTAATATTTAGTAGACAAGCCAGTTAATGAAGGTTTTAAAACCTTCACAATTTTTTTAATTTCTTTTTGTATCAAATATCTTTATGAGGTATTTTTTAATACTGTCAGATTGCAAAAATTACAAAGACACTAGTTGGCTATTAAAACAACAATACCAAACTATATTGTACTGAGAACGATGATGATCTAATGATGAATATAACGATGATGAAAATGATGCGCAAAGATCACAATCACCATGACAAAGATTATATGATCAGTTAGCACTGTGTGGTAGCAGTTTGGCACAGTGGGAATGGTTTGGTTTCTTAACCTCGAAGTTGGGGGTTTTCAATCCATCGATGTGTATTTCACTTGTGTCCTTGAGCAAGGCACTTTATCTGCATTGCTCCTCCCTATCCAGGAGTATGGGGATAGGGAGGTTCAAGTGCAATTTGCGCTGATATATTTCATTCAGCCATAAGTCCAGAATATAGTACCATCAGTAAAGTGGTCATTGATGTGTAGACTACTGAAAGTAAATGCATTTTAAATCTGCTGGTGTTAAATGAACCATAACCATCATGCAAATCATTCTAATGCATCATAGAATATTGCCAAATATGGAAACAGAGAAGGTTACTAAGGTAACAAAGACCCTTGCCATAGACAGAGGACAATTTGAATTATAATTGCATATAAAGCACGCATGCTGTTAATTTTCGTATTAGATTTTTGCCTTATGGAATAAAGAATCATATATTTTGTTTCAGTCAAGGTGTTATAATCAACAAATATTCTTTTTTTAAGATAAGGGAGTATTTTGGAATACCTTAACAATGGTATGAGTGTAGGAAAATATTGGAAATTAAAAACAAATTCTATGTAAAGAATAAAGTAATGAATACAGTAAAAGAAATTACATTATTAGAATACGAATTTGATATTGAATCAAATCATATTATTATTATTATATTTATTTTATTTAATAAACATACAAACAGAAACTCTGAAGTACAAGTATAGGAAATATAAATTATAAATAAGTAATAAATTTTAGTATATTTTTAAGCACTGTTCACGTTACAAAAAGTGCTTGTTTGATTGCCAAAACTACCGGTAATTTCATCACTAATAAATTAAAATCCTGAAAGTTTGACTCTATCCATTATTAACACCAGACAAAATAGAAAACCATAACCATGAAATCCCCTACCACAAGTATTTAACACAAATAGAAAACAGCTATTATATTGTATTTTTGAAATCAATTCAAATTACACTGAGTTTGTTAGTACAATCGGTGGAGTCATTATTTTGATTTCAAGTCACCAGATCACCTTGTACCAATACTCTATGACTCATGGGGACAATACAAGCTCAACAAAGCTTAGCCCACTAGTACATTATTAGTTGAACCTGAGGAACACCCACCACTGTACTAGTGTATTTCAGACATATTCAAGCATGAAAAAAAAAAACATCGGTAGGCACAGCAATAAATTGTTAAAAGAGGCAATGGTTTTAAAACTGTTGTGTCTAACATTCGGGGATCCGAACCAACAGACACAGTCACCTGATAGTTGGACAATACAGTATATGTTTCATTTTAGGCACTGCAGCACTTTTATTATAATTTTAAAGGCTTTAAGGGGATACTTTGTCGAAAGTAGCACATTACAAATTTATGTAATATAAAAATGTTAAAATGCTACCTTGCATTGTACACAGGCTTCCAACTTACAAAAATAAATGTTCAATGAATTAAATTGATGTTGTTCCAATATTAATGTTATTTAATTCATGAGAAACTGGATATTAATACTGCAGTATTCCATTGATATAAAACATCAAAGCATATTGGGTGTGTGCTCTTGATTAAGCACTGAGGCACTTATTAAGTACTCTAAAATGCAGTAACTCACTTGAGAGAGTACAGTGCTTAGTCAAAGCATGGTCAAAGAAATCACATCGGATGGCAGTTAACGTTATTGTTATTCTAGAATGGTGCTTACTCTAAAACAATATATATTTACTAGTAGTATGGTATATCATTAAAAAAAAATCACTGTTTTTAGTCGAAAAGACAAAATCTAGTATGGTTATCTTTACTTCCTATAATGTAAGTGTATATTTAAGAATGAAAGCCTAATTTTGAAATAGGGATTTTGGAAGGTCTAGATTGGATTCCATACAAAAACCAAGTGTTAATGATATATGAACATAAATGATTAAGTAGAGACCAGCGCCAGAGACCTTTATATTGATCCTGCTAAATAATATTAAAAGAAACAAAAACAGTCATTGGTCTGCCAGGAGTAACCAGGATACACTTACAACTTCACTTAGAAAATTGATTGAATTCTAAACTAACTGACGGATGTGTAAGTCAATTTAAATGCCTGATTACGTACATAATTGTGGGTTGATTGACCAAGAATAAAAGGTATAAGGAATTACATTTTGTATTGATGAAACAAAAATCTGACACACTTGTGTGTGTGTTTGTAATAGGAAGCTGTATTGTAATTCCTCTTCTACAAGAGCAGAACAAATTATCAGAAGACACTTGAGAATTTTTAAAACTATTATTAGGCGAGATTTTTTTTATACCTTGTTTCACAAACTTATCTTTTTCTACTTGTCAGAGGGTAGAAAAAAAAATTTTTTTTTTCTCATTTAGCAAAATGATTTTGCCAAAACCATCTTGAGGCAGAGGAGTATATAAAAATACAATTTTATTAATGAATTTAACAGTGTAGTAGGAAATTGATAAATGCTTTAAATTTATATAATTAAGGAAGAAACTGCATACTTATTTTTGGAGATTTCAGGAAAGTAGACGGTGTTAAAAATACTGTAAATATAAAATTTTATTTTTTTAAGGAAATTTCCATTTTTTTTTTGTAGCACAGTGTACGTTAACCAGCCAAAAATAAAATTGTATTTTTATTAAAATTGCCATTTCGCCATTCAAAAAAGTCTTGCCTAAACAGACACCTTTAAACATGGCCGTACAATACAATGTGGAGTTAAACTAAAAATCACAAACAAATATGAAACTTTCAATTTTAATGAAATAGTAAACCAAAGTGAGAACTGTATACTGTAGTATTCGTAATAATACCAATCACAATAAAATAACAATAAATGAAACAGTCTAGTACTGTATATATCTACTATTTGTAAATTGGCATACCTTAAAGTAGTATAAAATGGGTTATTTATAGTTGCTTTCAAATATTTACATATTACATACTCTCAATTTAATGATAAATTAGCAAACCAAACAATCTGAACAATAAATTAAACTAATAGTTCTACTCTCTGAAAAGGCAGTTTCCAATATTTAGTAAAGCTGGACACACACTGTACTCCGTCAGCCAATAAATCCACATATTCACGGTGTGTGAACGACTGACAATGTGAATCCGTCTTACGATATCGCTAGCATTCTGAGCAGGACGTCACTGAAGACAAACCGTTACACGTGCCTTGTCACGTTACCGGTGAAGTGTGTAGCTTCTGTAGGGGTATTTAATATTTGTTTGTTTTTAAATACAAAATTCAATGAAACTGAATCAGTCAAGAATCCGACCTTATGGAGAAATATCTTTGTATTACAATCAAAAATGAAATAATTGTATTCTGTAAAATAAAAAGCTACTTACCAGCTTTCCATTTTCAATTTTTCCTTGTTTGTTTTCGGATTTAATTGACTTTACCAACCCATGTTGGAATTTGTCTTTTAGAACTTCCCGCACAATCTCTGAAAACGAATAATAATAATTACTTGTGCAAAAATGCTATCATCACATTGAAATGTCAAATTTTGACCATAAATTTGGTTTCAGGCCTTAGTTTGGCCCTCTGACCTATTTTAACAGTAAGTTGAAGGAAGTGACTTCCAGGAGATCTGGTTAAATGACCTTTAATACTGTACAACTAATTTGTATTTTGCACATGGTGACCCATCGGCACTGATTACTGTTATTGATAATAAAGTTTAAATTATAAACATGCAAATATTATGAATTTGTCGAAGATGGGGTATTTTCTTTCTCGCTATCCAGGTGACTCCCACGACCTGTGGGACATTTGGAATCTCTGGTATGCCCACCCCTGATATATTTAGTATTATTGGTAATTTTTGTCACTGTAAATAATTTGTATCACGAGATTTAATTGTACTATTGTAAAATACCAAAAGTGAACCAACTTAAATTAAATTTCCCAATAGAATAATTATATCTGGCATTAAACACAATATAAAACATTTATGAATCCAATAGACCTACTTAACAATACCAGCTTCATTATACGGCCACATATAGAATCATGAGATTCACGAACACAACGTTTGCATTTTTAAAAATCTAAATTGATGGGGAGAAATGCGATTATTTAAAAAAAAACATATATTTTATAGGCCTACCTCCTTTTCTAATTACTTTAGAATAGTATTAATTAAATATCATTTTTTCACAGTAAATAGGAAATTTACAGTACACGACAAGTGGGAAACATGAAATACCTGTACATCAGGTAGATAAGATCTCCAAAAAGACATGGAGATCTCCAAAAAGACATGGAGAACTCCTTTAGCCATAAATCATGTTTGTCTGTACTGTAATTGGATAACTCATTCATTGTGTAATGTCGTACAGCATACATAGTTTACTTTAACTTTCGAGCACCTCCCTGCTTTAATATGATGACCCATCGAGTGGAAAGACAGGTTAGTTAGATACTGTAGCCTCCCAATCTTGAGAGGTTCCCTACCTGCCCAGCCCCTCTCTCTCTCTCAATCAATCAACTCTTGATAATGATACAAACAACTTGGTTAGCCTAACACAAAACTTAAAATCTTACCCATTGACTCGTCTGAACTTCCCATCTTTGAAGTCAGAGCACGTTGGACTACTATGGAAACAAAACAACATTAAATGTGAGTCGATGGAGGAAATTATTAGACACCAAGTGTAAATCATAAAAACACGGAAGTGATCTTGTCGAAACCAGCACCACGGTAAATAATACAGTCCTCAAAAAGTATTCTTCACATCACTGAACCAGCCAAGCAGCAGCAGTAGGCGGCGGCTTACGCTTTTCGCGAACTAGGAACAGGAATGGTCCACTATTCTATAGGGGTCTTAATTAAAATTACAAATTTATTAATATAAACATACAAACAGGCATGTTCAAAGTGCATCCATGTTTTTCATATTTCAAATTATAATAATATTGTAATTTGTTTAAATGAATGATATATATCTTTTTACTAGAATTTCTTGAAAAATGACACACTTGGTATAGGATAAACAGCCTTCAAAGAGGGATGATTCAAATCGGATGAGTCAATAAGAATTTCCAGTGGCCTGGAACGATTCTTAATCATTTTCAGTACAGTAAATACACGCGCGTTATGTAACATTGACCAGTGGATGTAAACAAGAAGCTGGTTTATTGTTGTTGATCAGCTAGGACTAGCTTGAAAGTCACAAAATGCTGAAAAATCTTACACGATTGAGACCGGTTGTGTTAAATTTAGCTAGGCCTAGACAAATAATAGTGAAAACAACGCTGTCCGGTACGATTGCAAAAGTGGTTCTTGAATCAAGTTTTTGCAGACTAGGCTAGGCCTCGGGGCTAGGTCCTAGGACAGAATAGGCTAGGGCCTGGCTGCCTAGCTGGCTGGCTAGGCAACAGCCTTCATTCAAACCAAGGTCCTCTTGCCCTATCCAGCCTTATATAATGCCTAGCTAGGCCTGTGCCTAGTATATGTGACGAAGTCAGGTGTAGATCTTTCTATAGGCTATGCCTAACTGAAAATTTATAATAACTGTTTTTGTGCAGAATATTGCAGTTTTTTAAAATCTAAGAAGAATTAATAAATACCGTATCCAACCCACTATTAGTATTACTATAAGTAGGTAGTTTTTGCCGCACAACTTTAACCCTAACATTAACGGATGACGTCATAATTTATTTATCTTGCGTTGCAGAGTATGTTAATTTCAGGATTTTATGTGCTCAACGTACGTAAGTTACAGGTTTGCGCATGCATATTTTGATTTGTTTACAAAAGGGGCGAAGCTATCGCGCTGCATGTTGGGTACTAATGTTAAAGTTAAGGTTAACGTCGTGCAGCGAAAACTACCTAGTGTAGGCTTAGGCCCCTAATACTGAATTAAAAATTAAGCCTACCATACACGGGAAACCTGATCTGTTTGTGTCAAATCCTTCCTGGCATTGGCATAAGCACCTACTGTAGCTGTTGTGTGCGGAGGCTTTTGAATGACTTTTTTAAAAAAAATTTTGTGTTTGATAATTTTTGCCATAAATCTAATGTAATATATGTAGAAATTGGCTTTTGTTTTCCAAAATGTGCAGTAGGATTTATAGGTGTAATACTTGCAAAGGGATTTTTCAAGCAGTTTTAGTTACAGTTATATTTGAACATAAAGAAACACAACATAGGTGTTCATGTTCATCTATTAATTATATTGCTTGGTCTTGTAGGCAATTTCAACAAAGTAGGCCAAGGCCTGTGTCGGCTAATAAGCGTCAGATATTGTCACAATGAAAAGACAAGGTAAGTTGAGATCCAGTATTAACAAAATTCACACAATACTATGAATTTAATATAATTGAAACGATTTGTTTATACTAACATAAAGTACTAAATGTTCGGCTTTAGTGTACTGTACTTATGGCTGGTCTTTGGCTGGCATGAGTTCCCAGGGGTCCAGTCAAAATTTCTAATCAAAATTTAGAATAATGACAAACAATAGCAATAATAAAAAGTTAAATGTGAATAAGTAATTCAAAAAGTAGCTGTACCTTGCACATTATTTATTTCATTGTTTATAATTTCATGTAAACATATTAGATCTAATTTCACCGAATAATCATGATTGTGCAAATGCTGAATTTTTAAAATTTCAGTTCTCCAAACAATACCGATACAGAAACAGATTCTAGCAATCATGATAGTGCTGAAGAAGAAACAATCACAGAAGATGATATTAAAGCGCACATTCTTGTAGAATCACTGAATTTCGTAGAAACACACGGCTGGTCCATTGAGGCCCTTGCAGAAGGCGCCAAGGCTGTTGGCTACCCTGGAGTGGCACATGGTATGTTTGAAAGAGCTGGGGGTGATTTGGTGCACTATTTCGTGGCTCAATGCAACAAGAGTTTAGCTGAACGACTCGCTAAAGATGCAAAAGAGACGGAAGAAAACCCTGATTTACCGTACGTTTGCAAATTTACATGCTAAATTCTGTTTGTTTTGTTCACTCTCTTGGTAAAAAACTTAAATAGTTTTTGCTAAAGGAAATTTTTATTTTTTTACTTTAAAGCAACAAATAGAATTATTCTTGACATCTGTAGAGATTTAGTCAGAGCTTTTTTCTTGAAATTCACTTAAAATTTATATTTCACAAAACAAAAGTCAATAGCAGTAAGAAATTGAATTAGAGACTACTGGTATTAGAACAAAATCACATTAAGAAAATTACAGACTCACAAAAATTTCAATGCAATTCTCTTTTAGGCAAAGCTCAGTTTCCATAGAATCACTCACCCAATCAGCGACAGTCGCCTACGGTTGCCAGGAAGGTTGAACCTGGTTTAACTTTGCCGATTGCGTTGCAGACAAATTGGGTGCCTTCCCAATTTTCAGGGCAGCTAGCAATGCACCCTGATTCATCTACAACACAATCAGCAAATTTGAACCAGGCTCAACCTTTCCAAAATATGTCCGTGCACTGTCACTGATAGGGTGAGTGATTCTACGGAAACCGAGCTTAAAGCTGATCTTGTATTGTAAATTTGCAGTAAGATTTTGTTTTCTTTTTCAGGAATAGGAAAGTATCACAGATTATACGGGATGCTATTGAAATGCGACTGCGTATGATCATCCCTTATGTAAAGCATTGGCCTCAAGCTATGGCACTTACTGCGGTACCAAGTAACACAATAGAACACTTTAAAAACCTGTCGAAGCTCATGGATGACATATGGTATTATGCTGGTGACAATTCTGCAGATGTAAGTAAAAAGGGTCAGTGGCATATTGGCCTTTCCTTCAATCGCTGATGGACCGATGCACCTCTTGGTTATGCCCCCATTTTTAGTAGGACATGAAATTGAATAGTCTAATATTGTCAAAAATTTTGAATGGAGTGAAAGAAACAGATGGAAAGCTTGAAAATTTTTACATTGACAAGGACGCGAAGCCCCGCCCACAATGTCACAAAAACCTTAGACAATGGTGGCTAGACTTACCGAGTTGGCGAAGATTTTCTTTGCTATCAACCTTCTTTAATAAAGACAATTCAAGGTAAGCGGTATGCAAATGAATCATATATTCATAGTCTTAATCTATTTCATGGAACATGGCGGGGAAATTGCTATAAAAGCCTCTGTATTTCGCTCCCAAAGGAAGAGGGAAAAACCGCATTCAGTCAACCTTGTTGTCGGCAAAGGCCAAGTCACTGATGCGCACTGATTGGTAAATCTATAACCAAGCATAGACATCTAGGCCTAAGCTCACGTATGTTTCGCGTTTAAACCAGCTGTCTAAGGAAATTAAAATGTCTGAGAAAAAGTTTTTCATCACATGACTAAATGACGCTCGCTGATTTGTCGGTTTATCTGTCAATCAAATCTCGTCAAGATGTTAATTGTACACAGTGAGCATAGCCTTTTTGCATGAACACGGTCTAGCCCTAACTAGAGAGCCATGCAAAGTTCTTTTGACTCACTGGCCATCGTAGTCAAAAGAAACATCTATTCTACAATTCAGCAATTTAAGTTTGTCGAATAGTTTACATATTTCATACAGAAATTGCAACAAAATGAATGGGTGTAGTATTTAAGCTGAGTGTGTACCTCTAAATCAACAACGATCTTCTTAGCGCTGGAGGTGGCGAGTTGCACAGTAGACCAAGTCCAATCAACCGGCCTAGGCCCCCTAGTAGGCTCTCAAAACTCTTCATATTTTAGTCTGAATGAAAATGTAAATCAAATCAACCTTAATCTTGTGTCTATGAATCATTAAAAATGTATACATTGTTATTTTAGACGATTTAATATACACCACTTTCAACTCTGCTCAATGCATAAGCATAGGTCTTTCGACAATGTTTGTTTTTATACACACTATACGAAATCGAAATGATGTCATCTTTAGCGATTAATTCAGTCTGTAGCACACCATCTTTTGCATTAAACACTTAAGGCATCGGTCCTGTGTGAAATATGGCCCATGTGCTTGTTAAAAAAATGCAGTACACTCTTTTATTCTTTCTTTATTCTTTATTGCAATTTAAAACAAAATTGAAGTAGAACAGAGCATAAAACTGTCAATAAATTCTTTGGAAAAGAGAAGATGGTTGTCTCCTTGTTTACTGCCTGACACCATAGATTATGCGACTAGGGCCACCAAAAGGGGGATCTACACCAATATCAGCTCTACCATGATTTGGGCTGAAGTGAGCAAATTTATGTATAAACACCTTAGATTTCCGAAAATTGTACTCAAACTAGACTGTGATCCCCAAAGAGGTGATAGGCTTCTTCCCCTATGGGGTCCTGGTCTGGGATTTATCAATTTCAGCTTAGAAAATGTCTTAAGTCAAAAAAGTTTAAGATGTCCTACTGTAAGCAAATATCCTGAGCTGATTTATCAAACCATCTTAGCAAAATCTTAGCTTAAAAATCATCTTAGATGGTGTATGCGTACAATCGACTTTTTAATTTTAAGCAATTTTTAAGCTAAAGCAATATTGATAAATCTGACTGAAGCAAATAAATTGACTTAAGACAAACTTAAGCTGATTTCTAGTTTGATAAATCCCGCCCCAGGGTTCCAAGACAGGGTTCAATGCCCCCTCCTAGAACCACTCCACTGATTGGGATACCGTGTGTAAGTTGTGGCATGTGTTTTTTTTCTTTCCAGCTTGAAGCAATAGCAACTGGTTTTGGTGATTTAACATTAGCAGCGTTCACTGTGGTATGTATTCACAACCATTTGTTTGTTTATCTGTTAGCAAGATTATGCAGAAACTAATGAATGGATCATCATAAAATTTAAGTAAAGCATTACATTATTCTAGGAAGGATGTGGTTGAATTGTGCAAGTTTATATAATAAGTTCATGGAAAATCGTAAATCATTGAAAAATAATTTATATTTTTTTCTGTGACTTATCAAAAGTTAATTGTTGCATTTAAATAAATCTATTCAGATTTTTTTTTATGGATATCACCATGACTCGCAAAAAAATGCAAACAAATGTATTTAAAAAGCCTATTAAAACAGATCTCCCTATTTGGATTTTATTTGGTAAAGTACGGGTAGTTCATACTTCATTGAACTTCTATCTGAGATAAGATTATTAGCTTTTTCTGAATTGTGATTGTTGAAGTATCAGTTATGTTAACTTTTGAAAGTCATTTTATGAATTAAATCACCATAACATGAGCATAAACTCTTATATTCCCCTATGTACTTTTGATTCATATATTGGTATATCCTTGTTCCAAAAAAAAAACAAAAAAAAAACCCTTCAGCTCTTTTGATGTTGAATTTCATACGAACTACTGTAACTACAGTATGATGTAGCTTACTACTGTGATACTTTGTAGGACCTAGTAGGCAAGTGCCACTCATTTGCACACCTTTCAGTGCCATCTCAGATTCATCAAGAGGAGGGGACAAATGGGGAAATTGCCCAGGGCCCGGACCAAATAGGGTAAAAAAAGGGGAAAAAATCATTCATTTTGGACAACTACTTATGCTCATTTTTTATGTAAATTACTAAAATTATGATCGTTATATAATAATAAAAAGTAAAAGGGATTTATAAAGTGACAATTGAAAATGTTCAGATTTTATATTTAATTTAATTAGACAAATATATATCTTAAAAGGCTGTAGTTTATGGTGGAATTTCTTCAGATCACCACTTGGTTCCTGGCTCTCGACAAGTCATGGGGTCCAGTGCCACCTACAGCATCCTGACCATTATGCACTTTGAACTATCAATGTATACAGTATATCATACATTAGACATCATCACTTATCTTGGACAAAACAACCTTAAAATAAACCTTTATCCCATTGTAAGTTATTATATATAGTTTATTGTCATGATACTTTTATCAAATGTAGGGCATCTTTTGTATGAATATTCTTGAACAAAAAAATACTAGAATTAAACTCATTAATATAATGTTCTAATGTCTTATGATATTGTTATCAAAAGTGAGGCATCCTATGGAAAGTATTGAAACGTATTTCCTTGTTGTGCTTTGAGTGTCCAAACTAATATTGTGTTCCAGGGTCCTTTTTATTACAATACATTGATTTTATCTTTGTGAGAAATATTTCTCTTCTTTCACTATAATATCAGTGTGTAACTTAAGTCTTGTGCAGTCATTGGGGTGCCAATTTGGGGTAGGGGAAGTGGTGGTGCTAGTGGGGAGCAGGGAGGGTAGTTTTTTTCCCTCATCCCCCTCTGGTCCCCTGCTGTCTGATGCAACAAGATTGTTGGACCAGAAATATTAATTTGCCTATCCAAAATGTTCATTTCATTGTCAAGTCCTAATATTGTGGTCTAAAAGCACAATTTTGGGTCCTATTAAGCCATAAAAACTCTCTCCATGAACCCTACCAGGACTTTTTATTTCAAGACCCTGATCAATGCTCTAGTCGGCCTCTTGCAACGGATTCGTTGTCAAACATTTTGTACCCCTCATTGACAAATTTCTGGAGCCACCACTGGGCAGGGATTTGTGCAGGTTTCAATAGTGAAATGTGTACTCTTCGACCACAATATTCAGAACTTGTTGGATGAGCAAGTTAATATTTTTAGTCATGACATGGGGTCCATGATTGTCCAAAAATGGAAATTTCTACGTAATGAATGCCGGCGGTGGCTTGACAAGTTAGCCAACTGGGGGTCCAACAAGTCCAAAGGAGGGGTCCACACAAAGGGGTTGCATAGAGCTTCAGTCAGGCTCTAAAATCCCTGATGTGGATCATGGAAAGAATTTTTTTATGTTGTAAACTATGTAGAACATGGTAAGCAGACAGATTCCCTCTTTTTCATTTCACAGGGAAGAAATGTCTTGGGAATGAACAACACCAATCGATAAACTGGATTACAATTGCTCAGTTCAACCGGACTTTATACATTGCATTGTGACATTTTTTTCTGTTAATAATAATACAGGAATTTTTACTGCACACTTTTCCCCTTTTGTCATCTAATATTTTCATTTATCTACTCAATAGATACAATTGGTAACTTGATTCACATGACCTTTAGTTGGTACAACATTGTATACGGACATATTGTATTATTAAGCTTGGTATAGGAAAATGCATGGATCTGTTGGAGTGTTTCTACAGTAAGGTTTATCATCAGATGTTTTTGGGCAGATAATTGTCCTTGATAGCTCACACTGGAATAAAAATTGAACTAAACTGAATAATCTTGGTTAAAAAGCTAGTAAAATACTCAAAATTGCTTGGAAATTGAACATGACGACATTGTCAGAATGGTTTTCTCGGGGGTTCTCTGTTTCTCCAAAAGATACTGCCCCAAATATTGAAGTGTTAAACTTATATCAGATAGATTTAGGCACTATGAAAATCATTGATCTGACTCTTGTAATAATCGAACCGTAGGACTCTAGGCTACCTCTGCAGGCTCACAAAAAATATTTTTGAACTTCAAATCCTAAAATGCATATAGTGCAAAGAATTTGAACAGTACATACAGTTATTAACAAACTGCCTTTTCCATATTACTTTGTTGTTGGTTTTAAGTCCACAACATTGCATATTACTTTGTTGTTGGTTTTAAACCACAACATTGAAAATCCTTATATTATTTCCTGATCGTACTGTATATTGTACCAACTGAACATCATATTACTACTACTTGTTCTGGGTCACCTATTATGTCTGTTAGTATTAGACGTTTATTGAAGCGTATAAAGTCAATGTATTATGCGCTATAAAAAATCAACATCAATTTAAACTCTTAGGTACACTATGATATAAATTATAAATAGATTATCAGCCCTGCCACATCACTGTTGATATCATATTCTCACAATTGACAGACTTCTGTATCCATGGACAAGGGAAAAACCCCATCTATAAATCAATCTATAATGTATACAAAAAATGTGGTTGGGATATTTTCCCTTGCTTACATTATTGTTAGTAGTGTAATAACTTTTTTTTATAAAAATTTTGTTTATATTATATATCTTGTCAAGTGAACTTGACAAGGCTTCACATAAGACTTCTATAATTGATTGTACTACTGCATTTCAATATTCAATAAAAAAAAAATGGTTGTCTCTTAATTGTTAATTTGTGAGTCAATGTGTTATGAAGAACGTCTGTTATACATTTAATTGCATACACTGAAATATAAATCAAGATATAAATAAGATAGCCATTAACACTGTTAAATTATATACATAAATCAAAGAAAGGTAAATACAGTGTTCTCTGATTTTCTTTGATTTATGTATGTATTTATTTATTTATTTATTTATTTATTTTTTTTTTTAACACACCTAGACCACTATGACTATATTCTTACGATTGCATGACTTCTCATTTGATACTATCTGGCTTTTTTCTACCATCACTCACTCGCCACTGAGGCAGGACCAATAAGTGCTGTCCAAAACCGTGGTACTATTTCTGGCTTCTGACTTAACAATTACTTATTACAGTAGTTGTTACATATCAATTTGTATCGAATTGTACGCAGGCAATAATTAGTATAGGGGAGTAAAAAATCCAATTCTATAATATAATATATATGTGTATTATAATATATATGTATTAACATTTTTTTTACACGGCACCGAAAAACAGTGGCACACAGTTTTGCGACCAATTGTACTCTTTTCGCCTATAATTCTCCATCTTCAATAAAGTTTACTTTGTGTATCCTTATACTGTATTACGGCTCATTCTAGGATCTGTTACATCACTTTGGTGTGGTTTTAAACATTTCATATTGACTTTTCTAAACTAGACTTTCCAAAATTCTGCAATGTTGGGGTTTTGATAAGTACTTTAAAAAAAATCACTGAATTGGGAGGGTAACGCAATTTTAAAATTCTGGTATTGAAAAAGAATTTTCTACATAGCTCAAATCCTTCACTGGAAAAGAGTAGATCACTGATAGAAAGTAGAATACTTTATTGTTGTGATGAAAATAAATCAGTTTTTAGGCATTCTTTGAAACAGTGGATAAAAGCTATAGTCTAAAAATGTAAAACCTGTAGATTTTAACATAGTTTGCTCAGTAATAAAATATTTATCCGACAATGAGTTAAATGAATGCCCAACAATGAGGAGTGTATTCATTCTGAATCACTGGAGAGAAACACAAATGCCAATATTTGAATCTACTTCAACATACAGTACTCTATTCTTAGAGTAGTTAAATACCATGACTACATAATGCAATAAACAGTTATGCTGATCACAAAGTTTAGTTTAAACTTATTTTTTAGCTTTCAAGTAAAAGTTACAATTTCATTTAATTTAGTCAAAAAGAACAATAAAATTGACAATTTACACAAAATAGCAGAGAAAGGAAAAATACACTTAATTGGCCAGAAAGTGAACTCATTCAACAGCAATTTGTAAAGTACCACTATCCACGGCAGGTGACATGTTAAGTGGCACTATGACAATGGCATTGCTCAAAGTGCACCTGATAAATCACTGTCACTTAAACCATTAAAAATAATAAGATATACTTTTTTGGGAAATTAAGGATCAAAAACACTCATTATTTCATTTTGTATGTAATAAAAACTGACTGAAAATTGTTCCAATATGTTTTAGAATATGTTATGTATGAAGGATTAAATATTTCTTTTAATTCTGGTAAGCTGATCATACATCCTTTTTTTATAATTTGGAGTGATCAACAACTAAAGCAATACCACTACAAAAGCCTGGTTTCCAATATATTGCTATACGCTGCATTTTCGCCGACTCCCTTTGGCAATGCTGCTTGGTCAGTTGAATTGGGTAGCATTTTCAATTGCGTCACGATTTTATGGAAGCCGCTTAAATGAGCAGCAATATTTGTTTTAAAATTGGAACTGAAACTTGTTGCTTTAGATAGCAAAAGCAAACAGCAAAGTGTTTTATAAAACAAACAAAATTTTGTCATAACAGTCACTATTTTCAGGTTCATTTGAATTATTGGAAAGAGCAGCAGAGGCAAATCAATTTTTAAAATTGGGAGGGGGGTTGGGCACAACATTTTCAGAATAGGGTGAGTAGCACTTATTTCAATATATAACATTAATATGCATTGAAATTTTAAAATTTAGTGGCAAAATTACAATGCATATTAATGTTATGTATTGGGTGGGGGGGGGGAGGGGCACATTCCCGGTCCCCCTACTGGATCCGCACCTAAAGAGTACATGAACTTCCATCCCCACAAGTCTGTTAGCGAAACAATAATAAGAGTTCTTGAGGCTACATTCAGATGTTCAGAAATAAGCCAGGCTTGAGTTAAGCCCGGCTTAACTTTGGCAGGCGTTCAGACTAGCGGGATTAGCCAGGCCCGAGAATTTTCATAATAATGAACCGTAACCAGCAAACGTGTTTTAAAACATTGCTCGTGAAACGTACGCTCGCTCACAGCGTACGTAATTGAATGCTGATTGGTCATTTTATTAGACCCCCCCCGCCCCGCAATGATTAAAGCCCGGCTTAGTAAAGTTAAACACGGTGGCACGCCAGGCCTAGTTACTACAGGAACACAGCCCGGCTTGAGATAAGCCACCTAGCTCAGACTGGCACGTGGATAAACCCGGTGAGTTGAGCCAGGTTTATCCACTCAGTCTGAACTAGGCCTTGGTCATACTCAAGTTTTAATTAGTACAGGATCAACAGTAGACGATACCTGTGTGTTTCCACATTTAACTCTGGTTTGTTTTGGGTTTTTTTTAACACACGGAATTACATTTACAACATTATGTTTGTATCGCCGATTATGTATGCTTAAGCACAGCATGCAATACCTTGACAAAAATGTGTGCTCATTGAAAATCAGAAGTATAATAATAATAAGTGGGTCTTGGGGTCAAATCACGTGGGGAATTGGATTTTTCTCTAAAAATACATTCATCTTCATCAAGTTTACATATTGTTTGTATGGGATAATAATGGACTTTGATAGTACAGGGAGTGTTTGTGTACACATGATTGTATAGAACTTTCCTACACCCACGCAGTTATTAAATGCAACAAATCTGCTATTCCCACCTTCAGCAACTCAGTTTGCTCTCATATCATCATATTGTGAAACTGTGTATGCGTGAGTGAAATATACTGTATTGTTTTTGAATGTTTTTTTGTTTTTTTTTTGGCTTGATGAATTCTTTGCTGCTACATAGCACAGTGATAGTGTTTAAGCAGTCAGGCATAGCGTCTCCCCAAGCTCATTGTTATTCAGAATCAGCTAGTCTACATTATTACAGTACCATACTTTTTTTTTTTCAATTTCACTTCCTTGTTTGCAGGAATTGTACCTTGTGTTGGTAGGATGCTTAGACATCTGGATTTTAGTTCAATGATTTTTTCTCTTTGGTTTTATAATACCAGTACATATACTGTTTCAAGATGATGAGGTTTAAGTGTTTAGTGAGGGAAGAGTCAAGCTAAGGTCACATTAATGTTGAAACATTTTATTCGCTTATGAAACAATTTTCTTAAAACACTTCCCCATCGGATTATTGCCAATTGCACCTCAGTGTTGCACTGTTATAGGTGTTTCCTTATACTGAGATTACATGTAATGTTCATTGTTAATTAAAGTGAGAAAGACAAAATCATTGTGTATTTCAAAAGATAAATATTCAAAATCTATGTTTTGGAATTTGATTTTTTTAATGAATAATATAACTGCCTGATGATAGCTTTATCTTACAGTTGCAAAGTTACTGGTTCTTTTCATAATTTGTTTCAGTTTTAATGCTCAACCTGTAATTTATGCTTACAATCTGAATTCATTAAAATTTCAGTCAAACTTGTTATTAAGTAAATTCATCTCTCAGTTAAATATTATAATAATGATCTTAATTATGATTTGTTAGTACCTTAAAATTGTATTTTTAAATGATAGTTGATAATAATAAAATAGATATATCAGCAAAGGATAGTGAAAAACACAGAGTTACAATATAGAGAGCTAACTAACAAGTGCTCAATTAATATCAGAATTTCAGAACATGGTTAAACTAACAAAGTAACTGTGTTTCTATTAAGCATTATTGAGTTGAGTTGAAAAACTAAGAATCACAGTTTACTCTATTTACAATGTTTTCCTATTAACATTTACAAAGTTATGACAATGTTTGGAACCGCTATCGTAGGAATGCTTACGGTATTAAGTTACATTTTCATTTAAAAACATAAACACATCATACAAAACACAAACAAGTTTTAGCCTTGTGCTATCATTTTTTGAACATCTTATACCGTAATAGAATAAAATAAAAAATTAATTGCTTTTCACATAACTGATGATTTGAATTGATAAGTCAATAAAACCATCAAATTGATTTGAATTGATCTAAATCATTGATTTATTTAATTGATTTTGATTGACATGATTCAGTAAAATTATTTTTAATGGATTATAATTGATAATAAATTTGATTTCGATTGATATGGACTACAAAACTGATTTTTATTCACCTGGTAACAGATCAAATTTATTTTAATTAATCTGCTGTGACAAGTGATTTGAGTTGATCTGATTTATCAAAACGATTATCAAGTCAATAGGTTTGATCCTGTGTCAAATAAATGCAGGATTATTACAAAGCAAAACAGAAAACAGTCTAATTAAATAAATTAATAAAATCCTATAATATAAATATATTAACAATATAGAAACAATAATATACATGACATTATTTGTCAATAGGCAACAGCATATTGATTAAGTAATCCATAATTACACAATTCAATGTAATGGCCTCACTTTACAGATATTTTGGAGAATAACATGGAATTTAATAACAATATTATTATTATTATTATTATTATTATTATTATTATTATTATATTTGGTAATTTTATCGGCCAAATGATAAGCATACTGTACAACCACTCAATTTTTAAAATAATTATCTTGTGAAAATTCATCTTAAAACAAACACGTTATTCATCTGTTTTTCAAATTTAAATTTTACTATGATACTCTGGTACTAAATGTAATACAATGCAAAATACTATAGAGCATAGTCACCACTCAATATAAAATTTGTATAAATTGTCCATTCTATTATGTGAAAAGTCATAAATTGCATATAAAAATATAACTATCAAATTTAGAAAACATTCTATTATAAGAATAGGTTAAGAACAGAATTAATAATTAAGAGGATACAGTATGTCGGTGAGTTGAGTCATCGGATTTCTTATACCAATTAAATTATTAGATCACATAGTGTACATCTATTATCATTCACAAGAACATATTTTTTCTCACATTCACAATATACCAGAATATATGACTGAAAATCAGCTAAGTAAGAATTAGTATGAAACAAGACAATCAAATTTTTTTTTAACTGTACCTTATACTGTACACTATTTTTATACTGTATCAGTATTACAAATACCATATCTTTTTTAGTTTCATGTTAAAAATAAGCTGTACTTTCGGGGATAATAATATTCAATACACAGTATGTACTTTACAGCAATGGCAAACAAGAAATTAAAAAATTTTGGACAATACACCTCTTTCTTACTGGTCAACCAGTGTATTGTTGTGATGACGATGATATGACTATGAGAATCATGATGATGATCCATAACAATTACGACAATATACAAGTTATTATTGTTATTATTATTATTATTATTATTATTATTATGTGTATTGTGGTGATGATGATACGATCATGATGATGATCATAACAATTACAACAATATTATGGACAGCATTATTGTATCAGATAATAGAAGATTTAAGTTCAAACTAAGTAATGTAATACATTTGCCATTATTATGAAAACATACAATTAATTTTAACAAATCATAAGAGATTGACTTCATCAGATCGATTCTACAGAACTAACGCCAATGTAATGATATTTAAAGCCAAACAACATTATCATCAACTTTCCAGCATACATTTTGTCCCTTAGATTCACTGTCAATTTATTTGATGTACATTTCAGACATACTGTAGATGACAACAAATCTGTTGAAAGTCACACAATACAGTATATTTTTCCATGTTTCACAAAAGTATAATGTATTCCTGGCATAACATTTCAAGACTTAAAATGTAAATTATTGAGTAAATAATAGCAGCATGCATCAATTTATTTTGAGTTTAAATATGATCAACATATTGTACTACTTGCAGGAAAAACTTGCTAGATAGTGACTTCAATACTGATTTTCCAGAACATAATGTTTGATAGTCGAAGGAATTGGTAACTTTGGAATGACGTGACGGGCATACCTTTCTCGGATGACAAACCTGCAAAGATATTGCAGACTGCGAACTTCTTTAAATCGAGATACCCAACACGTCAATTTTGCTGGAAAAGATTGTACACCATTGAAGTCTCGCATGTAACCAAATACACCGTCTTTTGACTCACGTACTGCATTTTCTATCAATGTTATTATTGAGGGATACCCCTCAGAATCATTTAAACTAAACAGTCCACTGCGATATTCAATGCGTGTATGAAGAGTCCGTCCATTGGAATTAAAACTAAGGCTCAACAGGTATCGATCGTCAGAGCTGTCTCGAACAAGAAACATACCATCAGGCATATTTTTCAATTTTTCCTCTGCTTCATGTTGCCTTAATGGACCCCAGTACCAGGGTTGCCTAGGCAGTTTCAAAAGTTCAGCTCCAATACCTAAAGAACATTTTGAATTCCGTACTTTATCGCCAGGGTTTTCGTACACTGTTGCACGGTTATCAGAAACCCCATTAACTGAGATTGAACGAAAGGATCTTTCTAGGTGAGGAGGAAGTGGCCCCATGGCACGATTTTTTGGTCTAGCTGGTGGTCTGGGTGGTTCTTGGTTATCATCGTTATCATTATACAAAACTCCTTCCACCCTAGGCTTAGGAGCTCTTGGCGGAACAGGGGGAGCTTGCCTTGCATCAGCTGGTGTTGTACAATTTTCATCTTTGTAAACATAGCAATTTTCTGGTAATTTAACTTCATCTGATACTACACAATAGTCTAATGCCTCTTCGGATTTTGACAGACGATAACCTAGTATCTGTCTATCAATTGACTCCTTACCGTGTGTGCTGTTAATGCTATATTCATTTTCAAAACGAGAGTCCTTTTCGTACTTTGTCGAGGCATGTTGTTTCTTTCCGGAACTTCCGGGTAGCTGTCCCTCACCGATGCTTGTTTCTTGTTGGTTTCTTTGACGAATTTTCGAAAATTTTGAAGTAAGCTTTCGTCTAATACTTTTGAGTGGCGTTTGCTTGACAATTACATCTTGCGAATGTTCCTTTGGAAAGACGCAAACAGTTGTATTTGTTTCACCATCATCATCATTAAAGCTAGGCCTAGTCGATGGTAATGAAAATGAATTCGATCGAGGTCGTATGCGAGTCGAACTGCTGCTACCTCCACCATCACGTAGCAAAACTTGTGCAACCTCGTTGCGAGTTTTTTTAGAGTACACTGATTTACTAATTTTTTTCATGACGATGACACCTTTGATAGCACTAATTCATGACATTAGTTACCTTAGAATAAGAAGCTTCTAGTGATTAGTTGCAACATAACCACATCCGTATTTCTCGATGTCGACCATATCGTCGTACTGTTACATCGGCCTCTAAAAACAATGACGATACTGTTTCTGTTTGTTCAGTCATCATTCGACGAAACATCAATCGCCCGCAATGACCTTATGAGGTCGTAATAGACTCGATACACAGTCGTCTCAAAAAATGATCAACAATCATCATTATTAGTCCATTCGCGGATTACTCAGTACAACATTTTTTACAATGACAGACATGATTAAAAGATTGAAATACAAGCACTTAAAGTTTATTTATTTATTTATTTGTTTAATAAAATGTAGGCTCAGTATGCTAAAAACGATGAACAGAAGGCAGAACACCAAAAAGGGTGAGAAAGTATAATACATACTCCAAGTATTGAAATACACGCCATCGTGTTGGGATTCAATATTTCGACATTAATTATGTCATCATCAGGAATGAAAAAGGGTGAAATGCTAAAATATTAAGACAACAAAAATTCAAAGAGTAAAAATAGACGTTAACTTATTAAGATACAATATTCAAATCTAAAACAATGCAAAGAACCTTCTGAAATGATTTTATTACTAAATCATGTTAATAATAATAATAATTGTTGTTGTTGTTGTTTCTTTTGCTTGTTGCTTGTTGTTGTTGCTGCTGTTGTTCCACCATCAATCCAGCCAGCCAAATTTATACATGAATCCAATTTTGCCTGACAACCCAGCAAACGTTATTATGACCAATGAGTTGTGTTATAATAATTATAACAGCGTTTAAACGTTATTTAGTTGTGAAATTACATTCCATTCGTAATTATGGTTCTCAAAGTGTTTATTTTCGGTTAGTTGTCACAAAAGTCAAGACGACTTGCATCGTTTAAACCGTGTTACTGTATTTAGTTGTGAAATTAAAAAAAAAATCATTCATTCTCATCCATCAACCATCTCTGACTGACGATATTTATCCAGACATATTCATCTCCTTATTATAGTTTTATCATCAACCCATCTGTCAAGCACACAGTCAGTCAGTCAGTCCCACCCATCCATATCATTTTATCCTTCCATTATATTTTGAAAATGACCATCCTATCAATCCATCCGTCCGTTCGCTTGCTCCGCTCGCCCGTCCATCCATCCATCCATGGGCGTCGATCGGTGGGGGACAGGGAGACACATCCCTCCCACTTTTCACATAATATCAATTCCCCACCCCCTTTCCACCAATCTTTTATAGTTATAAAACCCCACTTTTCAGAGCGAGTGGAAAGAAAAACAGCATGAATGACTGTCATGAATTTTGTCTCTTTACTTGTGCTCTGTTCCAAGTGCGGTGAGTATTTCCGGACCAATACTGAGTAAAAATACAATAGATTGTACGTTTCTTAACCATCTCAGTAACCAATCCTTCGATTTTATGTGTGCAACGGCTTTCAGAGGCTAAATTTATTTTGAAAAATACGTATTAGGCCATACCTTGTTAAAATTGGAAGCGTGTAAACCAATTAGGCCAACATTTTTACAAATTTAGAAGTGCACAATTTCTACTTATTTATTCGTTTTGTATATTATTGAGACCCGTATAACTAGTGTTCAATAATATAACTACATAGATTCATGTTTTTTCTAATTCCCAAAAAAATATAGTAAGTCAATTATTGAATTTTATATAGGCCTGCTGCTATTAAACAATAACTATGCAGCTTGGACACAGATAAGTCAGTCTATTTCGACTTATAACAAGCTTACGAACTACGAACTTAAGTAAATCACCTTTACGTTTGTGAAATAAAAATGCGAACCAATGTCTTGTGTGCTTCTTAGTCCTGTTTCATCGTAAGTTAGACGGTAGTATTTTCACTCACAATAGTGTAGTCGCATTACTACTTGTACAAAAGTAAAATTCAAAAAGAAGAGAAAGGAAAAATCTCTTGATTGATTATAAAAGTACTGTAAATGCAAAGAGCTATAGAATTAGTTCAAATGCGTCACAATCTAATCAGTAGATAATAAATCATTATTATTAGTTTGCCCGAAATATGTAAGCGGGCATTATGATTACGGGAATAAATTAAAAACAAGTTTATGATGAGTATTTCAGTGGCAGATCCAAGGGGTCCCAGTCGGCCCACCCTCCGTATTTTTCAAAAATTTGAAAGTGGGGGAAAAAGGAAATTATAGGCCTATTAACATTTAAGTCTGAGGGTGCCATTTCCGGCCAACTAGAGGTGCCATAATCATAAATTGTCTTACCTCAGCCCCAACCATCGTGGAGCTGAGGTGGTCTACACCACATCTGTAAAAGTCCCTCCCTCCCCCCCCCCTTAAAATTTCGAATTTCTGGATCCGCCACTGTGTTTTTAGTAGTGTGGAAATATATTTTAATTGCATTCCATAAAATTAATTAGATACGACCGTATCTGGGCGACCCCCTGGCCCCAACCAAGGTTTTCTTATTTTGCAATTTGTCCCCCCACCCAACCCACTTTTCACAACGGATCGACGCCCTTGCATCCATTCATTTATCCCACTATCCATCCATGCATTTATCCAATCCATTCCGGCATCCATTCGGACATCCATTTTTGGAAAAATCCAAAACATGAGTAGGTCGTTAGGAAATTTTTTTTTTTTTAATTATTATGCATAAAAAGTGGAAAATACACAAAAATACAACAAAGACATTTTTAAATCTACACTGAAGAGCAAAACTATCACATAACACTGTCACATCGCCTACCGTCGCAATATAGGCCTATTCCAGCCTTTTTAACTTATTTTTAAAAAATATATATTTTTTGATGTTAAAAAAAACAAACTCTCAATTTCGAACATTTTAGGTCGGTCGGGCGTGGCCAACATAATAATATTTTTTATTTGGCTTTATCCCTTCTGTCATACATACTGTACATGCATGCACGCGTCTATTCATCCATCCATCCTTCGATCTAACCAACCATCCATCCATTCGTACCATGATCCATTCATTTAAAAGCTTTCGATATCAATCACCCTTTAATTATTCGGTAGATCCTGAGTTTTAGCCGTGTTTTCCCCCTTAGAGGTGATTGCTGCAAAAGCAAACATCACGTGATCGGCTCTCAGGTAAAAACAATCAAATATAACAACACACAATATGTAGGCCTAATTATTATTTTCTGAAGCCTATACTGTAATCACCTCCATTATGTAAAGTTCTGTTTTTAAGAAAAAAAAATCTTGACATCTGAGGGATAATCGCTATAGAGGTAAAATACCATAGAGCAGAATAGTGGTTGCAGTGACTGAATGGAAAACAAAACTGGCTTTTTGCAAGTGGTCATTTGAAGCCGGACACGACGGTACGACGGTAATACGACAGAATCCAATTTCGCTCCCTGTGAGCGATAAACAACACGACGCACAGAGAGCAGGCCCGTATACGCACCCCTCCCCCTCCCCCCACAACATAAAAAGATCCACATTTTGAGACAGTGAATGTATTGAATATACAATTTATTATTTTCTGCGCCCTACAATACCAAAGGTGTGATCCAACCGACTTTTCACCCGGTCCCCGTCAGGGGCTCCAGGCGACCCCCGTTTTTCGCAATCTTATTCTGATTGTATGATTTCAAATTACTGTATGGCGAGTGAAGAGTGTTCTCTCCTTCATTCTGTATATTCGCAATAAATCTGCAAAACATTATGGGATGTTGATGCCACACTCATACCACTTAAACGAATTGTACCAAGTACCGCTCTCACCGCCTCCTATATCGCCCAGCACCAATGCTTCGTTCCAGTGAGATCTATGGTATCCTGAAGAGAAAAACAAATAATTATAGTTCTTTTATGAATCCTGTGGAAATAGTATCTCATAGTTTATAAAGCAAAAACTAAAAACAATAAAGCATGCTTCGTCCTGTGTCATCGCTTTATAAACCGTACATAACGGACTACCGTACCTTTTGTCGACGGTGTATTCCAAAAGTTTTGGTTATCAATTCTGAATTTGCCATCTTTTAAGGCGCCGACAAATTGGCAATGATCCTGACCGTATCCACGACTGTCTGCTACGTTTCTGTTTCAAAAATATAAAACAAGCGTATTGTCACATCTGAATAATAGTTTCTGTATTTCTAGCGTTTAAAGTACCACGATTTTGTAAAAATAATTAGCTTCTCTTGTATTTACGTACAGGTACGTTTCATGAGGAGCTTCTGATATGAATATCTTGTATCTTCTGGAAGAACAAAGCACCACTCCGACATAAGCTCCGACATTCAAGCCAGTCGGTTTGGTGTAGCGCCGTCCACCTAAGCAGCCATTCCAGTTGTCTTCTGATATGAATTCAAAAGAGGTCCAGGTGTCCAGACTGAATGATTCTGAGCTTGTCGTAAAGGAATCTTCTTCGAATGAAACATATATAGAAATGCGTAGTCAGTGAATTAGATACTGTATCTGTTTCCATTAAAATTAATACATTGAGGACTACCTCAACATTGGCATCATATTTTAGTAATTTGGGGTTTTTTCATTTTTTCATTTAACTTTGCAGATGCATTTGAACATTTTAATGGAATATGCGCAATATAAATGAAAAAATTATTATTATTATTATTATTATTATTATTATTATTATTATCATTATTATTATTATTATTATTATTATTATTATTATTATTATTATTGCGGTAATAAAACAACTATTTTACCAGTGAATATGGGGGGACTTGTGATGATCTCACTCGTTTGGTGTTGTGTTGTGATGGTAGATTGTGTCGTCGGTAATAGTTCTACTAAAAGTGAAAACAAATTTGTCACATTAGATCTATTTTTCCACGGCGGCATATCATAAACCTATTACGAAATTATCTAATCTGAGTTGAATTTTGAATCAGTGGCTAATATGAAATTGCAGGACCCCCCCCCCCCCTTGGAAAAGAACCCCCCCCCCCCCCCTTGGAGAGTCAAAAAAGGGGGAAAGGAAAAGAAAGAAAGAAAGAAAAAGAAAAAATAATGATCGCCTAAAACGCCTCAGAGGATTCGGGCGTCTAGAAAACAAAAATTCCTCGGGGCATGCCCTCCGACCACCTAGAGTGGTTTTATCTCTTTTCCCCCTCCCCCTTTCGTACATCTCTGGATCCTCCAGATAGGTCTATATCAAATATCACAAAACAAAGATCTACTTTTTAAGGAACCGTGAGCAAAAATTTTGTTGTTACAATGGGAAAATTTAAAGTCGGGACAGCACATTTCCCGAGATCTAGGGGGGGGGGGGTTGTTAAGAACATTTTTACCGCTCCTGAATTTGAACCCAGATATGCCCCTTACCTCTTGCATATGAAGCATTCGCTGATGATGACCGGAGTAATTCTAACTCTGATTGTAATTTTTGAATTATTTCATCTTTTTGTTGCAATGAAGTATTGAATCTCTGTTCTGATTCTAAATGATATAAAGTTCATGAAAAATATTTATCAAAAAAGCGCCATCAATTCATATATATATATATATATATATATATATATATATGCCTATTTGTATTTACTGACTAACGTACTCAACAACTTTTGATTAATTAATTTATTCTTTAAACATAAGGTAATTTGGATAGTGTAATAAACTAAACACATAAAACAAACCTACCACATGAGTTTTCTTGGATGATGTCATCGATCCATGATTTGAATCTAGAGACACGTGTATATACACCTGGGAACTGAGGACGACCGCACCCTATACCCCAGCTAACTAGACCTACCAAGTACCAGCGGTTAGAGACCTGTAAGAAATATGCACAAATGAAGCCTTCATAGACAAGGTAAATATGATTTAGGGTGAGACTACTTTCATAAACGCTTTTTAAATATTTTTTTCTGATCTTTGTGTCTACTGGGCTAAGTATTAACTATATGGCCCCGCCCACTCTTGACCATCACCCTCAATACACTGTACACAATAAAGTAACACATGATCAGATATAGTGTGATTCGGTAGGGTGGCAGGCGGGAAAAAAAATCCAAGGAGTTATCGGTGCACGGGAGCGAGGTAATTTCAATCCGCAACGAGAAAAGGGGTCCGGTTATGTATCCACACGAGGAAATGCAATAGGTTGAAATTATTACGCCGACAGAGTGACACCCATTGGGGTGTACCTACGCCCATTGACACAAAGAGTTTTTTTCCGCTGATGTCGAAAAATTTATTTCTGTGATTTCGGACGAACGCATCGATACAACATCAAAAGTTTATAACGCATTTAAAATACCATTTTTTCAGTATATTTAGGTTATTTATTTTTGTACCATGATTAATTTATTTCATATAATTATATATATATATATATAGGCCTATATAAAATTTTGAATTTGTAACCAAGCGTCATCTTGTTTTTGATATTATATTGCTCTGCCCCTGCATCAAGCACTGTAGTCTAAATGATCTAGTAGTTTATATATATATATATATA